TATATGACGGGGCTTATAGGCTGACTTCAAAAGTATTTGTATGTTTTTGTATCGTAATCCACGTTTACAAAAAAGGCTTATTTAAGGAAAAATTAGAATAATCACTTCTGTGCTGTACACTTGAAAAGATATTTCTAAAAAGTAAAACTCCGGGCCGTGGGGTTCAAGGGCACAGGCAGGTAATTAAAGATTTAAGTTAGTAAGTATCGCAATACAGCGAAGAAATTCTGCTAGCGTTAATGGTACACTGCCACAGGGACCAAACTTTTTAAATTTGTTTTAATTTTATTTTTATTAATTTATAATTATTTTTATTATTACTATGGTAATAATAAAATAAGTTAAGAAGAAGTAGTTAAGAAAAAAACTGCCTTAAGAAACGCTCAGTTGTGGTACAGAGTTTCTTTATCCTTAGAGATTTTTAACGATGGTTAAAAACGAATATAATATATACATATAGGACGCTATATGTGTTATGTCACAATAACTACAATCGATGTGGCTTATAATTGATACTTATTTTATTTTTTTACCTACATAAGGTTAAAAAAATCGTAAATACTGTATATTTTATTGTTATAATTACTAATAAACATTAATATGTTAAAAAAACTAACTATAATAACAAAATAAAAAAAGAATTTAGTCGTTTGTTATTTTTTTTTTATAGAACGGGGGGCAAACGGGCAGGAGGCTCACCTGATGTTAAGTGATACCGCCGCCCATGGACACTCTCAATGCCAGAGGGCTCGCGAGTGTGTTGCCGGCTTTTTAAGAATTGGTACGCTCTTCTCTTGAAGGACTTCCTAAGTCGAATTGGTTCGGAAATACTTCAGTGGGCAGCTGGTTCCACATAGTGGTGGTGCGCGGCAAAAACTGCCTTGAAAAACGCTCAGTTGTGGAACGGCGGACGTCGAGGTGATACGGGTGGAATTTTAGATAAACGTAAGTACAGTACTCAGTCGTAGACTTAGTCGTTAGTAGATAAACGCAAGTACTGAGAAGCGTTTAAGAATTTTTAAGTTCAAGTTGACTTATTTCGTAAGCCAATTGCAGCTTCGGCGCCAGCGTTATCACGTATTTACTTAAGATGTTGCGATACGGTCGTTGTCTTAGGACCAACGCATTGTTCTCACTAGGGGGCACTAACCCACATGCGATACCGCTGTACCACATGTAATAAAATAAACATTGTACAATATACTAACAAGCTTATTGCAACATGCCACCGATACATTTCTAAACTTTAAATATTTTTAATAATTATTTATTTGCAAGATTATGGTACAAAAATGTTGGTACAATCTAAAGTTCGCGTATTCTACCACACATAATGGCTTGCAAATTTGTCTTACAAAGTAGAATTTTAAATAGAAGTTACAATTACATTATTAAAATATATTATAACGTTGTCCATAGGAAGATTTTTGAATGTTTTTGGGAAATTATTATAACACTATTTTATTTTGCAAGTATCAAACGCCGGCACCACGTTTCAAGGCTCCTAAAATATCCTCAATATTTGTAATTAAAAATTACCTTTTTTAGGACTGGGATTCTCAGATTTCTGTATCTGTTTCATGATCATTTGTCAATCAACTAGGTGGACAACTTTTTGGGTCTAAGGCAATCCGGTTTCCTCACAATGTTTTCCTTCGCCGTTTAAATGCGTACATAGAAATAAAGTTAATTGGTGCATACCTGGGGATCGAACCTACGACCTCAGGGATGAAAGTCGCACGCTGAAGCCACTAGGCCCCTATTTAAATAACACTCATTAATTTTAACAAATCTTTCGCTCGGAATCTCATTATTTTCTAATCCACTTTAGTGTTCAACGTTCTACAGGTACAGTATATAAAATCAGTTATAACCTTCAGTAAAATCTCTATATTACAGTTACTATAGAGACAGCCGAAATTAAAGAGTTCCCATATCTATGGGGATCCAAATGGGGTGGCCATTGTTTGTGATCGCAAAGCATATAGTCTTACTTTATGGTACAAACATAGATAAACGAGGGTGGGAGCATTGACATATTACAATCGTAATGAAATAACCGTCACAGCGGGTCATAGTCTAACACAAATCAAAATTGATTAATTTAGAAATATAAAAAAAAATCAGGAACTGTACTCGAACTTGTACTTTTCAATTCAAATTAACGTTAATTTTTTTATACTTTATTACCTTATGCAAAAACATACATATAAAAAAGCCGGTTACAAAAGTTACAAGGCAACGGGCGGCCTTATCGCTAACAAGCGATTTCTTCCAGGCAACCCTAATGTGGAACAATAAAATAGAAACACCTACAGAGGGTTGAGTACAAGAAGTGCATAAATAATTAACAAAAAAAACTCAAAATAACACGTAACTATAACAAAAAATATGTATGTATAAACAAACATTTAAAAGCCAATCAAAAGGTTAACTGAGTCACAATAATTAATTTATATAAGAATTGCTAATTACGAGGCAGAAAGAAAATGATCAAAAAGAGACTTTTTAAATAAATTTAAAGACTGAGCTCGTCTAATATCAATTGGTAGGGAATTCCATAGCAGGATACTTTGCACAGTAAAGGACGAGTTAGAATTCAGTTTTATGAGTAGGAGTTTCAAGAATTAGATTGTTTAAGGAACGCAAGTCAAAACTACCGCCAGAGAGGAACATAAAACTTAATGAACGTTCATTATTGCCAACACATTTTCTTATGCAATTAATAAATAAAATCATAGGCTAAATATTACTCTATTTGCTTGGTCATATTGTCTATAAAATTCAGGTCCAAGATTATATTGATTTCCGGATGTAGCCGCGCGGCTAGACACTCTCACCGTTGCGGGAAGGCGGGAAGGTGCCATCATACCAGATCGTCATAGTCGTAGAAAAGCGACGGATCTGACAAACAGTAAACTTTACAGGGCAGCCATTTCAAAATTATATAATTTTAATTTTGTTTTGAAACAAAATAAAAATTATATCATTTAATTACACGGTTACGAAAAATTACATGTTTCTATCAAATCCGTCGCTTTACGGACTGATTAATTTGAAATTTAAAATACGTGGATTGTTTTAATGTAGCCGTAATATTAAGTCAATGTAGTATCCAAATATGATAAAAAGTGGATTTTTTTGTTCTACGATCATGACAGAGGGCTCACGAGTGCATTACTTGAAGGACACTAAGTATAGTCGTCGAAAAGTATTAACAGTGTAAACTTCATATATATAACGTCCGGCGATTTAACGACAAAGCCCCTAAAGCGTCGAAATCACTCGGCTTTGATTGGTTCAGCTTGTCTTTCATCCAATGCAATCTACATAGCATTACACCCACCCGCAATAACGACAATTAAATAATAAGAAGTACTTTTTAAGTTGCCGAAATTAGTTAAAACTGCGGAGCTATGTACGTTCTTTTGTCGCTTTATTGTCCTAGCTCGTAATAAACTCGACTGTCGGCATCATACGCAACTTTCTAAGAAATCCGTATTTTGTTTACAAATTGGGGTTGCTTGTACGTGCTTTATCAATAAGATGCCTCAATATCGTAAGATATGCATAAAGTAAGTTAAAAAAAATAAAACATATTCGCTGGTGCAGCTAAAGCGTTAGAAGAAGAATAAGAATTGTTTTTTATGTAATTACTAACAGTAGTCTGACAAACTTTTTCTTTTTCTAATACAATTTTTTTTTCTTTCCATTTAACGACAATCTTTTATAACGTCAAAATAAACACAGACCTTTGAGTGTCGTTATATAGAGTTTACACTGTATATTATTAAATAGTCAATTAACAACTAAAAATTATGTATCGTGAGATAAAATGTATACAATTAGCGGCCTGATATCTCCCCTAAATCCCATTTTGCCACATATGTGATTATCCACCGCCCCACAAGGGGTCAATTATGTGGGGGTCAGTATTGGCGCTTTCCTTTAATCTATCTATGTTATCAAACCATGTTTAAACTATTTATCGGGATTAATATTCCGAAAGTTATTAATAAATGATGACGTGTCGTCATATCTTAAATGAAAAAAGCAGTGTTGCCCTAGTGGCTCATCCCTTGGGTCGTAGGTTCGATCCCCGGCTGTCACCAACTTGTGTATGTGCCTCAAATCCATTGACAGAGAGAAACATCACCTACTTGTAGTTAAAATAAAAATGATCAAAGATGATGACTACTTTTAATGGTCCAGTGAATAGGCTATCTCGCTCTTACAACTTGATAACTAACATTGATGAAAATATTGATATATTTTACAACAATCTTCTAACTTACGGTAACTTTGTTTATCATGCTCTTTATGAGGATTAAGTTTCCATTTTGTTTTAGTTACTAGTATTTTTATTTTGCGGTTGCTTGTTTAATTTTTCCCTTGCCAGCTTGCATATGTTCTAATATAATAATTATATCAATTATCAATTATTGATGTGTATGTGCGTAAAATTGTGATGTAATATTTCCTTATACATATAATTGTATGCACACACCTTGTTTTAGAACTTATAAACAAATAAAATGATGTAATCTAAGGCCTAAGTAAATGAACCGCAGTTTTGTCGGAAGGATGGGGTCCTTCCGACAAAACTGCGGTTCATTTACTTGTTGACTGATCGACTTTCGAAAGAGCCAGGTGCGATCTGGAGTTCGAGACTGGCATGAGAGTATCCCAGGATGGGCAATGCGATATGTTGCTTGAGCACAGATAACATTCACAAATATGTCACTAAGATAAAGAGCACAAGAGGTACCAACGGGCTCCTACTCGCCCATAAATATAAGGATATTTCTGGAGTAGTTGTCACCCGGACCCGGCGGAAGACGCCCAAGCCTTTTATTTAAAGTCCCTTTTTAGGATTTGACACTCCCCTACTGCTTAGTTTTTTGGCGACACATCTGCCTGATCGCGTGCCTGATAGGCTTTACTATATAGTAAGGTCCAATAAACAAAAATATTCTTGAATATAATTTTTAAATAATTATTTATAAACTCACCTGAAACATATCCGTTTCCAGGTCTTCTGTGTATTCAACAATGACCGCATGACTGCGGCTCAATGTGTAGGATATGGAGTGCTGGCTCGCGTCAAGAATTGCTTTGCTGCTGTGCGGTGTCTTCACCACATAGTGTTTAGACCTTCGCACACCATTTGGTTGCGGCCTTCTGTATAATACGAATTTGCTTCTGCGCCGTCCGCGTTCGCCGGCCGGTAGGAAGCCGTTGTATCTGGAAAGGTTCAATAATATTATATTCTGGTGTATACTGGTACATACCAGTATATACCGGTGTAAACTAGTACCTACTTGTAATATTATCCATAAATCGTCAACCTAAAAAACTAGAGGTGTCTGCTTATAAAATAAACTTTTGCTCTTCTAATATTAGTACTTTTTAATATGACAGAAATTAATAAATATCTTAATGCCATATTATTTAGCAAAGCATCCGGGAAGCATCTCTATATAGAGCGCATAGGACAGGACTATTCCAAACTTTAGAAACATTAATTCAACAACGCAATACTCTATAGAATTTCCTATAAAGTAATGACTTATAAAATGTATTTATAAATGACGTAAAATCATCACGCCACACGATGACGCTCCGTTGCAACAGACACGGAACAAAAGCTTTTAATGCCCCATTTACTTAATTAAAATAGCCTACGTGATAATTATAGCGTCGACGACAGACAAGAAAATGCAAGACGAACCTGTGTATTAAACAATTTAACATGTACCAAAAGAGTGTATGAATTACGTTTTCATTTTTAACTACAAATAAATCAGTAGCGTTACAACCTCTTTAGGTCTGGGCCTCAGATTTCTGTATCTGTTTCATGATCAAACTAATAGGTGATCAGCCTCTTACGCCTGACCCAGGCCGTCGACTTTTTGGGTCTAAGGCACCTTAGACCTTCAACATTCGGGCGAATGTTAAATGCGCAAATTGACAGAAATTCCATTGGTGCACAGCCGGGGATCGAACATAGAATTCAGGGATGAGAGTTGCACGCTGAAGCCACTTTAATTAGTTAAGGAAACCGAAGAAAGAGGTTTAATCAATCAAATCAAATAATTTAATCAATTCGACGTATATTTTTTTTAAATTTCTTTCTTATATTATATATCTCGTATATGTAACCTAATGGGTGCGTGCACACCTCTCTACTCTATGTTTTAATCCTTTAGCGATTTTAGTTTTATCTATGTAAGGAGTTATAATTTTTTGGCGTTTACTCCTTAAGAAACGATTTGAGTTATAAGGCCCGGTACGGAAATTTTATGAGGAGTAAAATCAAGTGTAACACGAAAAGTTGAGGCGTTATCTAGAAAGAGACAAATGGATTGAACCTGTAAAAGAATGAGATGGAATACATTACACAGACTTTTCTATTTTGAATTCACGTTTTGACAGCCACGTTACAACATTGTCAGTGTTGACAGGTGTAAAAAATAAAAGTAGATTGTCTAGCGTGCCATAGAGTTTTGTCAATAATAATGGTCAGTAAAATGAAAATTAAAGAGATTGTTAATTCTTATTCTTCTCTTACTATAAAGGTAACTTTGGTCACAGAAAGAAAGTCCTATTTGGGCATAGATGATGTAGGTACGTTTTATTACTACTACAAACATTTATATTATAAAAACATATATTCTTACCACCTTTAGTATGAAAATATGGTCGACAGCCACAGAACATTATCGCCATTTTATCGTTCGTAAGGAGTAAACACCAATCGTGCGTCGTAGCTGACACACACACACTTTTTTTTCAAATACGTGTGCGAAAAACATCCATCTCTTACAAGATAGAAGATACAAGGACGACAAACAACAACAACCTACGGGACAGCCATAAAAAGCAGTCCAGCCCATGGACTCCGAATTTAGTGAGTGCGTTGAGCTTGAGGGGCATTGAGGGTAGACATATCTCCCAGGGAAGACCGATTCCACAGTTGCTTCATGGAATGTAGGTTTCTAGGCCATTATCACTAGGCTAATATCGATGGAAAAATTACATTATGTTTTAATTTACTATGTAATATAATTTACTATTCAGTCGATATACATATTACACACGCTTATTTTTTTTATGTTACAGGAGGCAGACGGGCATGAGGCTCACCTGATGACAAATGATACCGTCGCCCATGGACACTCGCACTGCCAGAAGGCTCACAAGCACGCTGCCGGCGTTTTAAGAATTGGTACGCTCTTTTCATGAGTATGGTACGTTTATTGGTACGTTCATATTTGACAGTACCCGTACTCGAATTCAAAATTGGAACCACAAAAACCCGCACATACATACATAAGCAAGTAGTGAGACTTCCGTCTTATAAGCCACATAGTCCCATCACGATAGCATCACCGTTATAATGTCCAAGGAAATCCAATTATGGAGAGAAATTATCATACACTTTGATGGCCCGTTAAACATTTCTATACAACAATAAAATCTCCGGATGTTCTTGCATTCGCCCGAGTGATGTCATGACGTGTCCCATAAGTTTGTGCTCAATTGTCACAACAATGGGTACGTTTAAGTAAAAAGCGATAGCGTATAGAAGAGCTTTGTGGTAAACTCCACTGGACTTCTTTTTTTTTTATTGTCTTATCATCAAGATAATAAGCCTAAGAATATAGACCAATCACAAACAAAAGTTTCCAATCACAAATAATCGTATTAATTGAATGTCGGTGAATCCTAAACACGAGCTCAAATGATTTTTACACCTAACACAAACAGCCATCAAGGTTGTGGCGGGTATTTAGGGACAGTTCCAAGGCTCTCGGCAAACATGGCGGCACAACTAGAGCTTAGCTGCAGGTATTACTTTCAAGGCTGACATTTTTTTATTAGAGATTACCGGATCAGCGTATTTAAAAATGTAAAAAGAAGAAAGCAAAGTTTTTATGGTGGATGATTAAAATAAAGCGTACAGGGAATGTTAGATTTTGTTATCTTGTCCAGTGTTGTTTTAATTTACGTATATATAGTTACTTAAAAAGGTCACGCAATCGTTGGTGTGGCAATAAGACATTTTGTTACGCTATTACGCGCAACTAAAGTATATCAAGGTAAACGGTACGTAGACCACCCGTCAAGGGCGACCATACGATGCTGCCAAACGTGTGGTTATGCCATTAAATTGTTTGCCAATGACAACCGTTGGTACTTCTCAAGATAAACCGACATCGATGTCAGAACTGTGCCCACTATTAAATAAGAAACAAATATTTTGCAACAAGAAAATACCCATCACACGTCATAAGTTGTGATGTTTGCTGTCCTATCTGTTTGCCATAGTTAGTCAAGCACGTGGTGGGCAATTTGATGAATAGGTAGACCAATCAGAAACATAAGTTTCCATAGCGGACAAATAATCGTGACATTAATTGAATGTGTGGTAAGTTTATAACATGATCTTGAAATGCTGCTGTTTTACACCTCTACGCAAAAGTGAAGGGCGTAGGGTATTTAGCGAGACAAGTACAATCAAGGCTTTCTATCCGCTACGTTCGGCAGCCATACCTCAGCAGCCTAGCTAGCCGTACGAGGGCACAAGACATAACGCATTTTGCCCTTTGAGATACCGGATTTATGCGTTTATATAGGAATCACTGTAATATAAGATATTGGACAAGTTCTACTGGATGTTGCTGTTAGCTGTTTTTGGGAATGTCACTTTTTTTGTTTGTAACTAATAACTCGTCCACTGTTGTCATATCTGTACAAGTTTATATACTAGTAGAACGGCCACGCGTAATGCTGTGACTAAGGCTTTAGTTATACTAAGATCATTAGTAAACTATTCAATCTGGAAACGGTAGCTGAGAACCAAGTAATCAGGCACCACAATTGCTTTATGCTGAGTTATGCCAGTTAAATTGTACGTCTTAATGAGAATCTGTGGATAACATTCAAGACACCGCCATTCTGTTGGTGAATTAGTGATCTATTAAATAAGAAACTGTAAATTTTCGTATTAAAATAATATTGCTCAGATTAATATGAGATTCGTCATCGTAAGTCAAGCCATATCTTTAATTTACGTATCAGACTGCACACGGCTGTGTTCCAAATCTGATTGATATAGGTTCAAGGCAGTTCTGCAGGATTCCACTAGCGGAACAAACAACCCATTGACACGTAGTGATGATATATTAAGACTTAGAACATTATATTGAAAAGTGCTCTGCTTGATCTACGCTGTGAAGCGCGTGTGTATACGCCCTGAAGAATATTACAACTAGACAGCGTATATCCGCTAACGTTGAGCCCACCCAGCAGCCTGCAGCCGACGAGGGCAAAGACAATAAAGCATCAGTAATTCACATCTTTTATTCTTATATAGCGAATCACAGTGGCAAGAAATTGACAATGTCGACTGGATGCGGCATGGGAAGCCAAACAAGTGCAGCCTTAGTGCTCATCTGTGTTAACTCATAACTCGTGAGCTCATGGACACTAACATTGACAAAGTTTTTCTCACCTAATAACCCATTTAATACGTACTCTTTTTAAAACATTAGTTCACCTAAGATCCATTCCGGGAAGCTATTAAATCTTTATACAGCTGCTAATTAAGTAACTCAGACATTTAAATTTCTCTAGCTGAGTTTCTCAGTTAAATATATACGTCTTAATTAGTCTGTGAATAAAATTAGATCGGACCACGGAATTTTGTTGGTCGAATTATATCGATGTACCAAAGGTTAGTAACTTGTTACTATCCGTGTTCATGAAGAGTTGCTCAGTTTAATACTTCTGAGATTCATCACCGGAAGTCAAGGCAGAAAATTAAATTGTTTTACCCATATTTCTACACGATGGCTGTTCGTTGAACTATTTATAAGTAGTTATTCAAGGCAGTTCTGACGCACCCAAAAAAGTAAGGAACTTGCCAGGCTATAAACTATTAAATTTAAGTTTATCAATCCAATACGACTTATGGGTCCTGTCAAGAAAAGTGTTGCATGTAAATATACAGGCTATCCATTATTGTCGCCTCGGGGATTGAGAGAAGCGCATCCGGGCTTGGCGTTATTTTTCAGGCTGATGCCGGTATCCGACGCCGGCCCCTTGTGCTGGAGAAAGGCCATCAAGTCTATCAGTTAATTAAAATACTTTAGTCAGCTAGTTCCACAAACTGAAGGTGCGACTTCGCAAAGAGCCGCTTTGAAAACGCTCAGTAGTCAAACGACGGAGGAGGTGATACG